AAAAAGTGGTATTTTTTTTTTTTAAATAGTCGCCGTTTTGCAAAAAAAAAAAAATAATTAACTTGTTGTGTTATTATAACATTCTAGTACTAATCTAGTCTTTTTATCTTTTTAATTTTGGATCACTAGGAGGGTTGCAATCATGGGCATTGTGGCGTGTCAATTTTTTGGAAACCCCTACTTCAGCAACTGATAATTTTTAAAAATATTAATCTTTTTTAGTTTTTTTTTACATTGATAAATAAATTATGGAAAAAATGATAGTAAAAAAATTCTTTTTTTACAATGATTTAAAAATAACTTAAAATTCATGTCTCTTCACTAGAATACCCCCTTTATTTATATATGTCGGAAAGTTCATGCAGCGTACGTTAAGACAAAATGTCGCTTACAACTAGTTATTAGATTTTTTTGCTACCAGGTATGGACAAAAAAAACCTTGCTTTGTGTACCGATTAGTCATGGATAACTGTCTAGAGAGAAAGATTTACGATAGGCAAATAAACAAGCAGGGTATGGCCGACAGAGTTGTTGACGAATGCAACCCTGACGCGCATTTGTCAATGAAAGAAGTCACTAATTTATGCTGGGATGATGAGCAAGACTCAGAGGTCTCGGACTTCTCACATGCAAAGGACAAATATATAGATGTTGTGATGCAAAAGGTAAGGTGTATTACATCTTTTGATTAGGTATTAGTATAAATTTAATCTATATCTCATTTTATCTTTCTCAGGTAGTAGAATCTTTCTCGCATGCTCTAAATAAAGAGCCATTTCAACATGAAAGTTTGTTAATTGATCGTAAAGAGAAGAAATTGTCACAAGCTGAGAAAAGGCAAGCACAACGCGGTTATGAATTAGAAAAGCAAGCTTCGACTAGACCAGCCTACTCTTACAACACCGGAGGTGGTATGCAGTATAGAACAATCAGGACACCAGATGGGGCTATTGTGCACAGACCTGTTGCTTCGGTAATTTATTTAATACGAATTTATTTTTCATGAATAGCATGAAAATAAAATTGTAAAGAACACAGTTTTTAAGGACTTGCACCCGATTCTGAAAACAAAATTGATATAATTTTTTTTTTTTGCTTTTTCCAAAAACAATAGTTTTGTCAATACAAGCAAGAACGTTTTTTAAATCATTCAAATTGGATGCTTCATTCTCTCAAAAACTTTCATTTTTTGCACATTTACCTCTTCATCTCCAAAATGGCTAGTCCTGCCTTTGCCAAAAAATTGATCACCACTTTTCCCCATCAGTACTAATCAAATGTTTTTTGAATCATTCAAATCGGACGCTCCGCGCTCTCAAAAACTCGATTTCTATTTTCTGCGCCCTTTGCTTCTTAACTCCGAAACGGCTGGACCTGCCTTTGCATAAGTAAGAATCAAATGTTTTTATAGTACCTCAAAATCTGTTGATCCGTGCGTCCGAAATCGTGGACGAAATTTTTTTTTTAAAGACAGGGACATAAAAGCATTTGGATCAATGACATTCAATGTTGACAAAATGAGTAAACAATTTTGTCAAGAATAATTTTTGATCTTTTATGGAAAGACATTAAGGGATGGTTTATTTAACATCAGCGTGCAATACTAAAATGATTTAAAAAAAATAAAAGTGCCATTTTTGTCGCGCAGTAATAATATTTATTGAATGTGATAATGACCACAATTTAATTGTTGGTACAAACTAAAAAATGTATAGCATACTTTTTTTATGTAAAATAACAAAAGAAAAATAAAATAATTATTTATGAACTGAAGAGGCTCTTTCATAACAACAAGTTTACTACAAGTTTGAAGATGATATATTAGAAATTTTACCGCATTTAAGAATAAAGCAATGTAGTTCTTCTTTATCTATTTAATGTTTCATATGTAAAATAATACGTTTATGTTATCAAAATAAGCTTTTGGTAAATAACTTATTTATTTGAGCCATTTCTTTTTTTATGAATTGCTGAAGAGCAAAAACAGTGTGTGAGTTAGTACAGTGGTGTCTCGCAAAACATACGTTCATTCTGGATATATTCCATAAGTAATCACATAAGTGAACATTAATAAAATTAATTGTTGTGTAGTATGAAATATGCTCATCTGAAATCAAACATATAAAATTATTTATTACTTATTATGCATGTAATAATTTAATTATCAGTTATATTCCAAAGAGTGGTGCGGCTCTCTTTTTCGTCCCTTTGGCTTTTGAATTTTCAACTTCCAGCAACTATCGATAGTTACTTGTTTTTAACTCTTTTTTTAAGCGCTACTGAAAATAATAGCAAACGTATTAATACAAATTGTTTATTTTTTTCGCCTCAGTTTTCTTTGTAGTTTCTTGCACTTCTTTCCATTTGACTAAAAAGTCTTCTATAGCGGTAATAGAATAAATCTGCTGATTGGCTCTTTTGCTCCTCGTTTTTCTCTTTTTAACTTCCCGTAGGGTAAGTTATAGCAATCGCAAAAAAATCTTTATATATCGTTACGTTTCAAAGGTTTCTGAATATTTTGGCATACCTTAGAAAAAATGGATGTATGTGTGTTCCTGTGTGTGTGTGCGGATACAAATTTTCGTCAACGATTTCGGGAACACCGATCAACTGATTTAAATAATTTAAAAAAAATTCGATTCGTATTGATAAGAAGACGTGCTGTTTAGTTTTTGGCGTAGGCAGGTCTAGCCGTTCCGAAGATACGGGGCAAAAAGTGCCAAAAACGGTAACTCAGTTTTTAAGAGAACGGAGCGTCCGATTTTAATAATTCAAAAAGCATTTTATTTGTATTGACAAGATGAAGAATTGATCAAATTTTCATAAAGGCAGGTCTAGCGGTTTCGGAGATCTAATGAAAAAAGTAAAAAAAAAACAATCCATTTGGCGGTCAAAAATGATCATTAGACATATGCACATCAAATTATCAGATATTTTATAGAGATTTTAACAATAAGTATAAATTTTGTTTGCATTCCTATGGGTTCCGTACCAGTGTTTATCCGTTAGACGGCGACGCGGCGCTTACGCGCTTTGACATTTTGTCTCTATGCAGTTAAAGCAGTACGATTTCTTTATAACAAGTTCAGAATTTCCAAAATATTTCAAAATAAAGAAAACATTTTTTTTCAAAAAACTAATTTTTTGTCAAATTTATAGTTTCTCAAAAATCTAATTTTTTCGAAGTAAAATTTGTTCAAAAATGTTAATCGTTTCTAAAAAAATAATAATTTTTGGTACGGGAAGTTCCAGCAATTTGCCTTAGGCACGATGCCATGCGCCCCACTAGTTAGAATATGTAATTAAAAATTTTCTCAAGAGAATGTGCTTTATCCAATAATAGTACTTTAAGACTGAGCTTTTTTCTCTAGCAATTATGTTTCACAGCGGTGGGAGAAACTCCCAAGAATCATACTTTGAATATATTGGAACAATTCAGGCCTTCTGATCGGACTTCCATTGAATGGGCAACTTTATGTCGTGCGAAAATAAAGTCCGTTGTGCGAATAGTTTATGAGAAATGAACATACCTGTAATTTGAAGTATAGTTTATTCACTTCAACAAATTTTATCTCCCCGTAGGGTAAGTTATTGTAATCGACCAAAAATCGAAACTGAAAATTTTTGCATATCTTCACGTTTTGAAGGTTTCTGAACATCTTGGCATACATTAGATAAAAATGTATATGTGTGTGTGTTTTGTGTGTCCGCAACTTTTCGTCAACGTTTTCGGGCGCACGGATCAACCTACTTGAATGGTTCAAAAAACGTTCGATTCCTATTCATAGGGAGACGTGCTTATTAGTTTTAGGAAAAGGCAGGCCCTGCCGTTGCGGAGATACGAAGCAAAGTGTGCAGAGAATAGAAATCGAATGTTTTTTGAGCCATTCAAGTAGGTTGATCCGTGCGCCCGAAAATGTTGACACATTTTTATCTAATCTGTAAACATACTTAAATGTCGTCGTCCAATTCATACGCCCTTGTATTTTGTCTATAAAATAAGAATAATGAAAGTTGCAGTATTTATAATAATCTATTTGAAAACTTTAATTTTTCTCGAATATTTCGTTACGGTACGGGACGTTTCAGCAATTTGCCTTAAGACACGATGCCTCCTTACACCTTTAGTTCTTATTGATACTTTTTAATTAAAACTGCTACTATTTTATTTCGATTTTGTGCATTTTACGCTATTTTTACTTTACATTCATCATCAATGTTACCATATATTTGCAAGACTGTAAACTCATTGAATAATCTTAAATTTTTCAGGTACGACCAATGCAAGCGGATATGGGTGAACGATCAATGCCTCCGAGATCTGGCGGAGCCAGACCCACGCGTTGGATTCCTGCTGAAGTTTGGCAGAGGCAAGGAATGACTGCCCAGGAAATGACCTTGCCGTTAGGTAATACATCAATACGAATTAGAAATTAAATATGTATGTTTGTGATTGTTTGAAAGATATTAATAGAAAATGGCATTGATTAGTTTTTATTGGAAAGCAAGAAATCATTTATTTACACATATTGGGCAGTTCATTCAACTTACTTCATGGCAAAATGCTCCTTACACATAATAAGATATTGAAATATTTTTGAATGTGACAGTTTATATCTCGTTTTATTAATTTTTGTTCAATGAATATTGTATACCATGTTTTTTGTATTTTAAACGTGTCTTTATATTTTAGATGTTGTTATACCCACAAGTTCAACAGAGAAAGCGAACATTGTACTGAAAGCTGGACAAAAGGTTATGGTACTGAAGTCTCCGAAAGGAATTTATATGCAATTGGAGTCGGGAAAAATTATTGCCATCAAGACGGCTTTTAAAGTTGGCCAGAACAATAAGTCGCGTGGTGAAGGACCTGCAGACTGTTTATCTAATTTAAACAAAAAAGGTAAGTTTTTTTTATTTATATTTATATAATTATAAAATACAAATTTTCCAAAAAGTACTATCAATAATATTTAAATATAATAGTTTTAACTTGGGTAACTTAAAGTTTGGGTGAATTTTCTTCATGTTGTATGTTACGCACACACACACACTTATATATATATATATATAGTCGGTCAAGTAAGAGCGTGGCCGTGTTAATTTATAAAAATAATTATTTTATAAAACTTCAATATTTATATATGCATTGTATACATTACAAGCAATGATGCAATTTGGTCAATATGTGTCCAGTCACCACCGTAGTCCACAATTGGCTGGCATCTTCGACGCATGCTTTTTACTAATTTAACGGATTATTCTAGTCTGACGGCTCGTATTTTAATTTAACGGCTCGATGAGGGCAATACGTGCTCATATAGAACATTCATCAGTAAAAATAACATTTCCAAAATCTCTATCAATATTCTCATGTGCCCAAGCGGAAAAGAAGAAATCAGTCGTCAGAGGCTTCCCCATTGTGTTGCGCCATCTCAGATCATGAATACAAAGAAAGGTTCAGATAGTTTTGTAGATATTTTTGTAAATATTTCTAAACATTTTGCCATTACTTTTGCTCGTCCTTGCTGCAGTGTTAAAGCAGAATTCCGCAAAAGCACATTTACTTTTCTTTTTTCTTCTTTTTTATTTGCACCACATTCGGATAAATCATCGACATTTTTAGCAACTTTATGTAGGTGTATCCAATTCTGTACAAATGCCTTCAATTTTCTCATATGTTTAGCAGCAGCTGATTGCGACATTTGGGGACCTTTTGGGTGGATGCAAAAGGGCGCAGCCTCGTAGCGCGACGCTTAACTTAGCACTCGTGGCGTTTAACGTGATTTTTTTCTCAAAAGATCAACGACAACTAAACCTTTGTTGACAATGCATCAAGGACAAAGCTTCACTTTATCGGATCATGAAAGAATTAAACCCGAATCTTTCATTAACTGTCATTAAAGTCGGCCACGCTCTTATTTGACTGATATATATATATATATATATTATATATATATTTGATACTAATTAAATTTATAAAATATGAAAATAATTGTACTTACCAAACTTCTAGAGTTTGTTTGGGTTCACTAAATTTATCTAAAAATATGTTCATGTTACAAGATGTCCTGAATCGGTTGAGCTAAAATTGAAACCTGTGGTGCATGGCGTCATGTCTTCAGGCAAATTGCTGGAACTTTCCATACCGTAATGAAGTATTCGAAGAAAATTAAATATTTTTGAATATATTATTATAAGTGATATTTTAAGTACATAAGTGAGCTTTAGAATTTTAGCCAGAATTAAAATTGAAATCCGAATTATTTTCGATATTTAAAAAAATGTTATTGGAAATAAAAAATAATCGTTTCGTCAATACAAGCAATATGTTTTTTGAATCATTCAAATCGGATGCTCCGAGCTATCAAAAACTCGATTTCTATTTTCTGCACTCTTCGCTTCGTATCTCCGAAACAGCTGGACCTGTCTCAGCCAAAAACTAATCAGCACGTCTCTCCATCAGTAGGAATCTAATGTATTTTGAATATTTCACATCGGTTGATTCGTGTGCGCGAAATCGTGGACACAAAACACACACACAGGCACATCTATTTATTTGTAAGGTATGCCAAATGTCGAAATTTTCGAAACGTGAAGCAAAAAAAAAAATTATTTTCAATTTTTGGAAAGTTACTATAACTTATCTTACGGGAAGTTTAAAATTATATTATATGCAATGTTCATTCGGTTTTTGATAATTCAAATGCCCATAGAAAATTAACTATTAGCACTATTGGGATATTTTTAGATTTTAGTAAAATTCAGTACGAGCATTCTATACAAAAGCGCTAATTGCTCATTCTTGTAAAATTTCTTTTTAATCATCTATAAACTGGAAAAAAGAAAAAGATATCTAGATTACTTTTGTTAGTCAACGTCATTTTTATGAGAAAATGATTGGTTTTTGCAGTAATGAATATAAGTATTTAATTTTAAAAAATAATTAAAATAAATCAAATAAGTTTCATATCTTTTGAAACAAGTTCCAAAGAATATTTTTTTTTACATTATTTTGCATAAATTATTGTGGGTGAGATTATGAGCATTTGTAACATTTCTCGATTTATTATATTTAGATCAATATATGTACATGTATGACATAATATTTTTTGCTCCAGCAATGATGCGTGGAAATCCGTCGTCTAAGATGCCAAACAGTATGATACCAGGCTTGTCTAGCAATATGAGAAATAATCCGATGATGCACAATAGAATGTCATCTAAAATGAACGCTGCTAGAAGCAGTGCCATGCCGATGGCAAATATGAAAGAGAACTCCAGATTTAACTCACAAAGTGCTAAAATTGGTGGAGTTATGAGAAAAAATATCCAATTCGCTTCTGCAAAACCGTACAATGTTCAGAGAAATAAGCCTAACTTAAGTGGCAGCAAACATGCCGAATCTTATGTCCCGCCGAAAATGTCTAGTACACCTACAGGTATTAAAATTGATGATACAGAGAAAATTGAAGCAAAAAGTGACAAAGAGATTTCAAAGCCACATAGTATATTCGGTGATGAGGAGAAGAGTAAAGAATCTGGGAACGACATGTTGGATTCTATAAAAGAACTAAATACTAAAGAAACATCTCTTGACTGCAACGATACCAAATCTAACGAGTTTAATAGCACATTATGTTTAGACGACCAGGAGTCGAAAAATACGTGGTTAACGGAAGACATTTCGAAACTGAAATTAGATTTGGAGTCTGAAAATGCTGAAAACACGAGCAGTTCCAACAAGTCGTCAAATTCAGGTGCTTCAAATAACCTAAATTTACCTTTAGAAGAACTTAACTCGACTTTAAATGAAGATACTAATGATAAAACAGAAAAGGAGTTTTCTGATAAAGGTCAAAGCCAACAAATAACTTCATTAAAAAATTATAGGCATAAATCTAGTCACAAACCTACTTCGGTTTCGGCTACTATTTCGAATATAAATTCACAATCCATCGAACTCGAAAAAACTGCTTCAAGCACGAACGATCCTGGTAACATGTTTCAACCATCTTCAAGTGAAACTTCTAAAGATGATGATAACAAATCAATAACTGACAAGCCAGAAGTGAGCTTCTTTAATAGCAATATTGACTTGTCGGATAAGTCTGATCGATCATTAGAACCTACTCCAACGTTGGACACTAATTATCCCAAGATGCAGATTGATAATGCTAAATCTTTAGATAATGTAGATGATAAGAAAAAGGCAGATCTTCTAGGAGTTGGTAATCAAAATTTTTCAGCACCATTTTCATATGAGAAGAACAATATGATCCAAGAATCTCAAGAGGAAACGGCAGGTGGAGACAGGGTACAAGAAGCAATACCGCAACAGATTCATCACTTTCCATCATATGGACATTCGGAACCGAATGTTGCACCGGCTCAGTCATATGCGGCACCATATGCAGGTGAGGATTGATTGGATTTTCTTATGATATCACTTTTTTGTTTTGCGTGAGCGGTATTTAATTACGCCATATTAATTTCACATACATAATATACACTCCGAAATCATCTTATAGTGCTTATATATTCCATTTTTGATTATGCTGATAACTCCATCCATAAGCAATGTTTGCTGGGTTAACTATTAATCTTTCAATTACAGTAGAAGTTCCTTATTCGCGCTTTCTTTATTTGCGTATTCGATATTCGCGGCTAAAAAATTCCGAATCCATTTCTATATTCGCGGCTAAAAATGTCATTCGCGGATTCCAATATATCGAACCCAAAATCCTTTGTAAATGCCGTCATTTTGAACTAATAAAGAAAACATTGACGTAAGCCGCCTTCGTTGCCTTCTAGCTATCGGTGTTTTTGAGAATGAAAACAATATTATTTATTACTCAATAAAAAAAATAAATTTTTAATAAAGTTGGACCCAAATTGAAATGAAATCTACATTCTCAGTCTATTAATTATCTATTTAATTTGAAAAATCTTATTGAAGATTTCTATTTAAACATTGATTTGTATATGGAATAAGTTTTATTTTTAAGAGGCAAATTGCTGATGTGACCGTTAACAAGTACAAAGTTCTTCAAACCATTGTCTTAGCGTTAACATAATTAATTAAAATGTACAAAAATTATAATTAAAATTGATTTTGTTATATATTGTTGAGAACTATTATGTAATATGCAATATCTTAAGTATAACAGATCCCATATTAAAATTAGTTGAAAATAAGTTATTACAGCATCTAACATTTATATAAAACTTTTATAAATCAACTCATATTGAATATAATATTGTAATTAATATACCGTTTTACATTAATTATTACCAATTTTATTATGATATATGTTATTCATAAGATATTTCGTGTTAGAAAATAGTTCTCACGTATCTCCTACAATATAAAACGCCATCCCGTATTTGCGGATTTATTCATTATTTGCGGATTATTTGTCTTCTTGGATTCCATATAAAATGCCATCCTGTATTTGCGGATTATTTATTCGCGGCATTTTTATTGAACGTATCCTCCGCAAAAAAGGAGGTTTTACCATATAGTGTTACAATTTAATTATCTTTATGGTTTAGATTTGGAAAACAATTGGACATTTGTTACTTGAAAAATATATAATTATTTATTTCAGGTTACTCTTACCCGACAAATGCAGTACCTCCTTATGACATGTACGCTCCCCACTCATCACAATATCACGACCCTGCCTATTCCGGATTGTTCCACGGGCACAGTGCTTTCCATCGACCCGAACCCATTTCCATTCCTCCCGGTCAAGAAATAAATTCACCCTCGAATTTTCACCAACAATTAGCTCCATATCAATTACCACCTGGTCCGCCTAAGCCAGTGTCTTACCCGCCACTGAATTCCCAAACATATCCCCAACAAATTCAAAATTATCCTCCGCAACCTCCAATTCCTACCGATCCGCAGTCTACGTCGCAAAAGGTGGCATCGGTTCACATGCAGGCGCAAGCTGCACCACCCGCAACATCACAGATGCCTCCTGGTCACCTCTCGCCTAATTCTCAGATACCTCCAGCCCAGATGGCGCCTGCCCAATTGGAACCTCAACCTTATCCGAATCAGAACTCGATACCGAATTACCAACTCAATGTACCAGCGAACGGCTATGGGAACTACGGCAACCAGCCTATTTATAGTCAATTCTCTGGAAACTATCCCAATCCGAACCCGCAATCCATATATAATTCCAGAATTTATCCAACGATGGAATATGGAACAACTAATTTCTCAACTGGGTATGGTTCTTCTTACCCAGGCCAACAAGCTAACAATCAATGGGCGCAGTAATTAAATGTAGCATTTTTTACTTATAATAGAGAAATAAATAAATATGATGAAATCGTTCTATGTGTAAATATTAGATCAAATATAGTACATTATAAAAATATATGAATATAGCTTTTTGTTTGCCTTTTATGATTGATGTCATTTCAACCATAACATTTTTCAGTTTGCCGAACTAAGATGATGATCCAATTGATTGAATAATTTATTGGCTTTATTCTTCCAATAAAAACCAGTTTGCTTTTCTTATAGACGTTAGATGGTCTCAGCACTTCCAAGGCCCTAAACCGATTGCAATACCAAAAGTGACACTAATCGTGAATTACAATTTTTCTAATTCAAATGGCAATGTTATTGTCGTGATACTATTTCACCTTTTTCGCATCCGGATATTATTTGACCTTCTGTAAGGTTTCTTTGGAAAGACACTACTCTCGATCTAGTACTATTGTAAAGCTTCGGCTGGTTTAAATTATGCAATAGCATGTTGGACACCTTAAACGGTAAACCAGGCAAAACTATGCTGTTTATCAATACTGCGTCGGGATTGCAACCATATAGCTTATATAATGCCCTGATTAAAAGAGATCACATGGTCGTTTGTAGGTGCTAGTATTATTTATTTGTCACAGAACTAAAACTCTTCTTTTATATTGGTATTGTGAATATCATCATAAATATAATGTATTAAAGCTTGTGTCCGACACAACCTGACAAAGACTGGTAGGTAGTTCTATATCATGATTGTTGTTCACTTCTGGACACTTTTCTTTTTCAACTCCAAGAAAGATTTTATTGAAATCTGAATCAGCTGAATGTGCTTACACGTTTTGTTTTGTTTTAAATGAAGTTTTTTATACTCTACGTTTTAAAAAGGCGTTCATTGCATCGGCTCGTGCACTCTCAGTTACAACCGGTTGCATTTGTCTAAAATCTCCAGCGAATAAGACTACGACTCCTCCAAATAACAGATTATGACTTAAAATTTTATCGTCAGAATTTTTAAAGTTGTTAAACTTTAATTATTTTTTATTAAACTGATCACTAACACATATCGGGAAGTTTATTCAATTTACCCCATGGCAAAATTGTACCTACACTTAATAAGATGTATCTAATGTTGTAGGATCAAAACAAAGAAGAAGGATGTTACTGTCATCAGTGTTTCGGTGTCAGTTACTTTGGTGCTGACATAGAGTATTTTTATATGGGCTGATGCTCTCAAGACTCAAAAATCGCGGAGAATAGCAGGACCTATGCATCGTCTGAGTGCCTAGCGCATTTCGCACAATATCGGACGAAGCAGTGCGCGTCATTTCGGAAACTCTGCCTCTAAATAGTCTTAGCAGAAGAAGGACGGACAATTTACCAATGACAAAATCAACAACTAAGGTAAATGTACCATATTACGAGATGTTAAGGAACGTTTGACTTTAAATATGATTTGTAAAAAAAAGTAGGAAAGTGAACAAGATAAAACTGTTGTATTCTATAAATTAGACTTATAATATTATCATAGACTAAAATTTTGCGGCGTAGAATTTTATTTATAGAAATAATCGGCATTTTGCTGAACCACGAGTTTGTCCCTGATCCCGTGATAAAATTCGGCTCGTGAACATAATGCCGAAGTTTACATTTTTGATCGCATTGCATGGATAAATATACTTGAATTGGTTATAAAAAATATGGTTGATTAAAAAATAATACTTTCATATAATTTTAAACATTTATTTAATTTAGTTTTATAAAAATCATAAAAATATAAGAAATTGAAAAACTTTCAAAACCAAAATAAAATAAAATCTGGTAATATTCTATTATATTATCAATACTGAAAGTTTCAGTAAATAAATAAATCAAACAAAAAATAAATCAAATAAAAAATATAAAACAATGAAGGAATAATTTTTAAAACGGTGATTAAACAAAAATATAAACTTTAAATAAATATAAAATTTAACCTCAAAATAAAAAAAATTAAACTTGAAATAAAAGTTACAATTCGACCAACAAACGTAAATAATATTTAAATTCTTTCAAATTAACAATGCCAACTAGCTTAAATCATGTCCGATGGGGTATTTTGTATGTTTTAGAAACTTTAAAAAACAGTTAATTATCTATTTAAAGCTTTTTTTTAGGGTTTTGGGCGAATATTTAATTGCAGCTATTATTCTTTGAAAAACTGAAAGAACGATTTAAAATCATACACAAATATATTTACTGATATTGAATATAATTTTAATAGATTTTAATAAACTGTATTATACTATTAGAAGGCTACTGCATTCAAGAGTAGGATTGGCAAAGTATTTTCGAGTAATTGCAATTCATATTAATTTAATAACATATGATATATGTTTGTTTTATTAATATGCAGGTTCTATAATGATTAAATTCCAAAAGATCACTGCCTTAATCGGATCAAAGTATTTACAGGAATGTCCCTAGATCTCTGTATACATACATACATACATACATACCAGCGCTCTAGTGAATCCGTGCGCTATAAGGGGTTTACCTGTATTTTTATTCAATTTATATAACAGAAATAATTGATCATAGATGAAAAGGTAGAAACAAATGATTCTCTCATTACTATATCATATTCTAGGTATATTGGAATAATGCAAATAAGTGAAAAAAATCGTGTACTTTCTTACGAAAGAGTGGTCATTTCAAATCCAATTATTAGGGTTAAAAATTTAAAAAAACATATACCGTAATTACGTTACAGTAATCTGTAGTCATTACTGAACTTATTAACACCAGAAACACCGCCGTATTTAGGCTGTGCAAAGTTGAAAATAAAAAACAAAAATATTTCAAGTCTACTTTTCGTAATTGCGGGATACTCACGGAATTACATTCACTGGCTCAGTTGTGTGAACCTAATTACAGCAGTCATGAAATTGACAATTTCTTGACAAATATATGTTCAATCTAATATAATATAATATAAAACTAATCTCTCATTAATACTGATCAATAATTTCATAAATTTGAGTCGATTAAGCTTATCGGCAAATAAAAATCGAAAATTATGTCATTTTGTTAGGATTCAAATTATATTTGATGTGCTATTGGGTAAAATTATTATTTACTGTCCGTTTTCTTATTTTGCGATCAAAATGAAAGACTCCCGTAATAATGTACTGTCCCGGAATAGTGTACATTTACTTAAGTAAGACCCGAAGGGTTGAGAATAGAATAACGGCAGTACAGCATTGACCGATGGTAGCAACAGATAGATGTCACTGTGAAGGGCAAATCATTCAAAATATCAAAGTTTGACTAAATCGCAAGCACGGAGAAGTTAACTATTACATTACACAAATGCTATTTGGGCACGGCTGTTATCGAGCCTACCTACACCGCTTCAAGCTCAATAGCTCGCTGGATTGCCCATGTTGTGTGGCGAAATCGAAGATGCTGAGCACGTGCTGTTCGTGATTCGGTGCTCTACGGGACGATGTGGAAGAGATATTGAGCTGAAGAATTACTCCGGATACTGTTGTAGAAGTGATGCTGACCACTGAGGCTGCATAGAACGTCATAGACATATTTACTACCGAAGTGCTAATAAACTTGCGATCTTTGGAAAGAAGAAGAGCGAATGGGAATATGCGGTAGATGAGTATAATTTCAGAGCGATAATTATAGTAATCTAGATTCCACCTCTACGAAGTAATGCCTAACTTCAACCATATTTAAGTAGGATCTCTAAAGATTGTGTCAACAAACCAATAACTGACGAGCCAGAGATAAGCTTCAATAATAGCAATATGGACTTGTCAGATAAGTCAGATTGTTAGAACCTATCCATCATTGGAGACTAATTATCCCAAAATGCAGATTGATATATCAATTGAAATATCAATACGATAAATTAGCTAAACTAATAAAAAACATTTAGTCCTGTTAAAAATTTTTATCAATGATTAATACATTTACAGATTTTGAAAAGTGTATTTACTGTAAATTTTGAAAATGCCGTGTTAATAAAATAAATTTTGATACATTTAATAATAATTAATTTGCCCAGTTATCGGGTTTTTTACAGCAGTTTTCAATGGTGCCGGTATGGCATTTTCTTCGTTTTTACTTCCCTCTATCGCTATTTGAATTAATTTTTGGAACTATCCTGGCGAACTTCATCTAAACATAGAATTTCTCTCATTTTTTGGGAATCCATAAAATGGGCACGAGCGGATGGTTTTATTTTCGAGTCAGAAAATTGTTCTGGAAGTTCGCCTGACAGGGTGGACTGCAATTCTGTGTCGCCGAATATTATGCTGGCTACCGTATCCGGCCGCGGCGATACTCCGCTCGAAGGGCGTCTGTCGTTGAATGCCATGTATTTTTTTTTTTAATTTTGATAGGAAATTTTATTTTAAATAGAAATTTTATTAAGTTGGGAATATTTTTTATTTGTTTTGAATTTTGTGTCTCGGATGACTTTTATTTCATAAACAAAATCATGCGCATTCTAAAATATTAATATCGCCATACCATTGCATTCATTTTTTGACACAGTTTGTTAATTTAAATCCGATAATAGTTTTTTTCCGTAAGGCGTGTTTAACTCAGAGGTGAAGTGTCAATTAGTAATTATTAAAGTATTAAAGTAGCCAAAGAGTAATTATTAATTATGATACAAATGTAATTAGTTTTTTATCAATATAATTAAGGAAATATGTAATTTCTTTGCATATTTTACTAATATTTGGACAATACTTTTAAAATACGGTAAAACAATAATCTGATACTCTGAATCTGATAGAAAAGTAAAAGATGAATACCATTCGGCCCTTACGATATTAGTAAGGAGGCGTCCATTAATCACGTCAGTTTTTTATGGGGAGGGGAGAGGTTTGAAAAAAAAATCATGAAATATCACGTGGGGGAGGGAGGGGTATAGTAAGATATCACGTGTATTTATTTTTTGTCTATTTTTTTTAAAAAGTTCAAACATTTTCAAAAAAAATCAAAAATGGTGCAGTTTTTTCACGTAACTAACAATACACGTGATGTTTGGTGGAGGAGGGGGGGTAATTTTGACTATCACAATGGATCACTAAGGGGGAGGGGGAGTCCAAAAATCCTTAAAAACTCGCTCACGTGATTAACCCTCCGTCGGTCGGCGTGGTCTGGCCAGACTTTTTTCGACTTCAATTAAAAATAAAAAATACTTCTAGTAATCCTATCGACTTGAAATTTCTTGACTTTTCCTAAAATTTCATTAGCTGTCGATAAATGAAAAAATCAGGACGAAAAAATGTACAGAAGGATAATTATAAGGATATTAACTTTTTTATACTTCGAACGGTCGGAAAGGTCTGTCCAGACCACCCATACATTTTGTATGAAATATACGCTTTTTGATATATGTAAACCAGTATTTTGTCTTTTTTCATGGTATTTTCTATTCAAATTGCGTTGTTTATATTCTTTGCTATGTGTTGTAACATGAATGTTAGTATTTTCACGATGAGAGTTTCTTGAAAACCTACCAAACTTATTGGTAATCGCAAACACTGAGAATCGGATGAGTTATGCACACATTTATTTCAAAGGCGCCGAAAAAGAATAAATATTGTTTTTCATTGATTTAAAAGAGAAAAATTAACAAAAATAACAACGATTTTTTTATATTTCCTGATTTTTTTATATAATCGTTAATACATAAGACACCAAAAACTCATTTATCCCATATAAATGCATGTAAAATGAATGGTGGTCCAGCCAGACCTTTCTGACCGTTCGAAGGTGAAAAAATATCCGACCGACGGAGGGTTAAATAAAAATTTTCGTCGACGATTTCGTGCGAACACGGATCAACCGTTTTGAATAATTCAAAAAACATTCGATTCCTACGGATAAGGAGACGTGCTGATTAGTTTTTGGAAAAAGCAGGTCTAGCTGTTTCGGAGATACGGGGCAAAAAGGTATTTCATTTTTTGAGATAACGGAGCGTCCGATTTAAGTAATTCAGAAAACATTTTACTTGTATTGACGAAATTAACAACTGGTGAAATTTTTGTAAGGGCAAGCTCAGCGTCTCTGGAGATCCAATAAAAAAAGTAAAAAACAATGCCATTTGGCGGTCAAAAATGATCATTAGATATATGTACATCATATTATCAGATATTTTATAAATTTAAATATTTCGACTTCAAATCAGCTGTGCAGCGCGATTGATTAAAAAAATGTTCAAAATTAAAAAAAAATCAAAATACAAAAAAAAAATATAAACAAAATAAAATTTTTCAAAAAAGTCAGATTTTTCTAAAAAAAATCAAAATTTCTCAAAAATCTAATTTTTTCAAAGTTTTGCAAAGCTTGTTTTAATAATTTGGGTTTCGGTACGGGAAGTTCCAGCAACTTGCCTTAAGGCACGATGCCATGCACCACTATATAGTTGGTTCTTATCTTTACTATGCGTTGCCGTCGATATTGTCCAGATGACACCACACGATCGTTCGTTCGATTGCCGTAATATCGCATTCCGTCAATTGAATAAATCAAATTGTTATCTTTGGAACTGGCGGACAGTTCTCCGGCAAAGTGACATTCGCGATGTGTGTCTCGATCAGCTGTTTTATTTAACAATCGTGCTTACGAGTTTTAACAACAATAACATCGTAAATAAAGTGATTCAACATGAGGATACACACACCGAAAATGTCTTCAATACACAAAATATTGGATTTTTACTCACAATTTAATCCTTCACCGCTTTCTATAAAACAGTTTATAGATTTCGGTATGTATTACTTGTTTTTCTATCAATTAATTAGAACTTATCAAGGTTGAAATAGCATGCGATTATTAATTATTTACATATTTTTGTGTGGCGTGGGTTTTAATTTGAATGTATAACCTAACATTTCTATAGCATTCCTTTATTGTTATATTTGACAGTTATGTCACCCGTTTTAGGAATTGAATTTGGGGGCACGTACCCTTTAATAAATATCTAGAAATCCACTATTCATTCATTCATTAATGTTAAACAGATTTTATTTAAATGCTCGAAATATTTTTTTATTTAAAAAAATAATAATAAAAACTATATGTTGTTTATTCTTTTAACAAATAATTGTATTTTTCCTTTCTATATAAAATTTACAATATTTTATTATTGAATAATTACTTATAAATAATGATTAAGAAATAACTTAATCATTATTTATAAGTAATTATTCAATAATAAAATATTGTGAATTTTATATAGAAAGGAAAAACAACTACTGAGTTGTTTTTTCCAACATGACAATGTAGTATACAATGTCCCTTCTCGGCGGACTATTGTAAATTCATTAAATTTACTAAATGTCCTTTACTGGACAGTTGTAAATAAAAGAGTTAATAAAAAAAATAAAAAAAAAAAATTAAAAAAAATAATTGTACTAGTTGTTCTTGCAAAAATATTTATACTAGTTTATAAATTAAATATTTTCGAATGCCATAACTTTGTGTAGTATCATCTTTTTCGGACAATTCAAATACATTTAGTTTTTTACATTTATTTAATTTGTTAACTTCCCATAGGGTAAGTTATAGCAATCGCAAAAAGATGGAAAATTAAAATGTTTATATATCCTTACGTTTCAAAGGTTTTTGAACATCTTGGCATACCTTAAAAAAATGGATGTATGTGTGTGTGTATGTATGTGTGTGTGTGTGCGGATACAAATTTTCGTCGACGATTTCCGGAACACGGTTCAACCAATTTCAATTATTCAAAAAACATTCGATTGCTGTTGATAAGGAGACATGCTGATTAGTTTTTGGCATAGGCAGGTCTAGCCGTTTCGAAGATATGAGGCAAAAAGTGCCACAAACGGTAACTCGGATTTTAAGAAAACGGAGTGTCCAATTTTAATAATCCAAAAAACATATTATGCACTTGCATTGGCAAGATGAACAACTGATTACATTTGTATGAAGGCAGGTCTAGCGGTTTCGAAGATCTAGTAGAAAAAGTAAAATAAATGCCATTTGGCGGTCAAAAATGATCATTAGACATATGCACATAAAATTATCTGATATTTTATAGAGATTTTAATAATAAGTATAAATTTTCAGAAAGGAAAGGAAGTTTAGAACTTCCAAAATATTTTAAACTGAAGAAAACATTTTTTTTCAAAAAGTTTTTTTTTCTAAAAATTTTTTTTTTTCAAAAATTTATAGTTTCTCAAAAATCTAATTATTTTAAAGTAATTTTTTTTCAAAAATGTTAATCTTATTTTAAAAAAATAATTTTTGGTACGGGAAGTTCCAGCAATTTGCCTTAAGGTAGGATGCCATGCGGCCCACTAGTTTACTTTAATTCAAGACTTCTTAAACTTTTGTCATTCGCGACCCCATTTAGGATTGCGAGTTTTTTGACGACCCCACACAAATATAAAAAAAGAAAAATTATTGTTTTTAGATAATATATTTATTAGGAAACAACATACATATATAACACATATGTCAATATATAGTTTTAAAAATTCGTTGTAAAACATACAAAAATCTAGACGTGATCTTATAAAATGATATATATTTTTGACATTAAAATTTTTCGCGACCCTATAATTTTCTTACGCGACCCCAAATGGGGTCACAACCCATAGTTTAAGAAGCAATGCTTTAAACTACTATCTTTATTTAAATTATATCCTTATCTATGTTTAAACTAGTTGTGCATGGCATCGTGCCTTAAGGCAAATTTCTGGAACTTTTCGTACCGAAAACTAAATTTAAAAAATACTTGAAATTTTTTTCAAAAAAATTAGATTTTTGAAAATTTTCTTTATATGTTGATTTTTTTTTTTAATTTCGAACATTTTTGAAAGCAATCGCGCTGCATAGCTGTTTTAGAGTCGAAAGGTCGAAGCGCGTAAGCGCCTAGTTGTAGTCTATCGTGTGAACATAGGTATGGAACCCATATACATAAATGTAAACGAAATTTGTATTCTTTATTATTTATAATCTTTATAAAATACTAGCTGACCCGACAGACTTCGTCCCGTCAAAAAAAATTGTAATGTGGCAGTGTTTTGTTCCTTCCTTTTTTAAATTCTTTGCAAAAAATTATCCAGAACAGAACCGTCACCCTGGTATTAATGCGGTGTGAATTAAAAATAATTAAATAAATCACTATAAGCATTCAAAAGTAAGCAATTTTAATCATGTAAATCATAATGATAATGATTAACAATGAAAAAAATAGTTATATTTTCATTGTAGTGCTTTGTGATAAACGATGTTTTTTATTTGACTGCCTGGCGCATAGACAAACAAATCTGATGGTTTTCCAATACGGAAACAGGCAACATACAATTGACCATGTTAAGAACATGGGTTCTCCAAATTAATGCCACAAACACTTAATGATTGGCCCTGAGACTTGTTTATGGTCGTAGCAAAAGCAAGCTGCACTGGAAACTGTAGTCGTTTAAACTAAAATGGCACATCAGTCGGAATCACCGGGATGCGCAGAATGAGAACATCTTCTCCTTTATACCTTCCTTTCAATATAGTTGCTTCTATCACGTTGTTTATTATATTGCAAAAGCGCGGTTGATTGATATTTCGCAACACTATTATTACCGAAACAACCTTTAATTGAAGATTGTGAGGTGGCAATCCGGGCAAATCCAGCGAGTTCAAAAATTCCGGTAGAGAGTTAACTACATCGTCTTGGTTAGTTGCCGAATCAACTGATTTATATAACTTCGATTCGCCTGTAGTTTGTTCTTGAATTTTGAAATTTAATTCATCTACCTCAATGTTTTTGGCTGCCAATATAGCTCGTTCGCTTAACCAATGATGATTTCTGTAATTTTGAGCAACATCTGGAAACACCTTCTAAATGAGTTCTTCTTTTGATTGAGGTAAATGACAAAAATTTTAAGGAAAGTTAATACATCCTGTCAACATACCAATCTAAATGAGTTGTTTAGAGAATATGTTTTCATATTGGCTTATTTGCAACTCAACACGCATATTCTTGCTTAAGTGAAGTACTTTGACATATTTTCACAGATTGGATGACTTTAGTTATGCGTTGAGTTCATCAGCTGGCGTTGATCGTGGAATCCCTAGCAATGTTTGACGAAAATCTCCTGCTAATAAAATCATTGCACCACCAAATCGGTGATTGCTGCGTAGATCTTTTAAGGTTTTGTCTAAAGCCTCCAAATATTTTATATGTGCCATCGTGCATTCATCCCAAACGGTCAATTGACATTGCTGCAAAATCTTAGCCATTACAGAGTTCTTCGAAATGTTGCAAGTTGGAGTTTCATTGCTTTGCATATTTAATGGCAATTTTAGTGCTGAATGGGCTGTTCGACCACCTTCGAGCAAAGTTGCGATTCCCGATAAAGCTAGTGCGTCTATTTTATTTGTGAGCAAATAAATTTATTTTGTGAGCAAATTGTTGCTAATATTAATGAAATCAAAGTTTTTCCTGTACCACCAGGTGCGTCTAAAAAGTAAATCCCCCCCAGTTCTATCATTTGTTACTTTCATAAGAGTATCAAATACATACCTCTGTTGTTCATTCAGCAGTGGAAGATTTGTTTCGATTAATTCTTTAAAATTGTTGAGATCATACAGTTTTTCTCTGTGCAACTCTTGGTTAAAAGAAAAATTGTTAAATCATGCATTGGACGATTGGGTGCGGGCACGACTAATTAAATTAATAGTTTGTTTGACATCACCAAGCACATGTCTTCAATTGAAATCAACGCTTCGTTGTAAATTTCTTCACTGATTTGCATATTTGGACTTCCCATTCTATTGCGTATTTGATACAAAATATCATCACACATGTTATCTTTGTACTTGATACACAAATCAATTGGGTTTGATGGAAAACATGTGGATATGATTATAGAAAACAATGTTCGTATTTGATGAGCGTGTGAAGATATTACAGCATCACTGAGAGTTTGATCCCAAGGAGCGTCATTTCCTAGCAATTGTAAACGTTGACAGGCTTCTCTGTAGGATCCACACAATTCACCATCAACATTTCGTAAATGTTGGAATAATGTTGGGCCACGTACATTGACTAATAGCAGTCGTAAATAAAAACATTCATTATTGCTTGGATGTACTGAATAAATTCGACCAATCGCATCGGTGGAATATACATCTGGGTATCCTGGCACTTGTTTTTCTTTTTTTCGTCGTATAAATCTCCTTGAAGATTTATTCCAAGTATAGTATTTTGGCATTTCAGAATATAGCAGTGTTTGTGCAAAATTATCGTTTTGACATGTCTCAAAAAATTTGTTAATGTAGTAGATAGTGGCTGAGCAGCTCTTTGACTTACGCTCTCTGCTGTAAAATACACCTTTTGCTCATTTTCTAAATGCACAGCTAAGTGAATAACAGATGGGTGTCTCTTATGAATTGGAAAAGAAAATATTCGAGAATTGCTTCATTACCACAAACATAGCGGCCCATATCCTAATTTTTTCATGTTCATTTCGGTCGTCATGTTCTTGTGCAGTACGATTAGATCGGTAATTAGCTTGGTTTGTAGCATTTCGTGTTCTTCTACTTAAATTGCCTCGTCTCATAGGAGGCAATATTAAAATATTGTGTCACTTGTAATAACTTTTTATTCATAGGAAGATAACAAAACACTACAAACAAAACAAAAGCACACTCAGTAGAGTATAGCAGAAAATGCAAGAAAATACCACCGGCAAGGGCGGCAAATGGACATTGACATTGATTTTTTTAATCTTATATGACTTG